CTATTTTCTATCAATTATATGGGTATGTTGTTATACCATGCCAAAACCTCAATTCATAATGTGCTTGTTTAAACCCAGTTTAATGGGCTAACATGTTGATGGGCTTATAGGCCCGTCTGATTTCCTTGCCAGACACTAGTAAGTAAATGATTCTATCATCCAATATCAACCGTGGGATCTAGGGCTTGTCCCACTTATATACACTACATATATTTAACTTTCCTTTAGCCCTTCTGCTTCAGCCCCCAAAACAAAGAAAGAAGCTACAGAGAGAATAGCAGCGCCGCCGTGAAAAATGGTCCAACGATTAACTTACCGTAAACGGCACAGCTATGCCACCAAATCTAACCAACATAGGGTTGTCAAAACCCCAGGTACGTACCCTTTGTTATACTCTTTTATTCTTTTTTCTATTGCATTTCTTGTTTTTATGAAAATATATGTGAATTTTTTTGGATACTGATTAAAGTTTTGTGGTTTGTTGGATGTTGGAAAATGATGTTAAATAGGTGGAAAGCTGATTTACCAGAGTACCAAGAAGAGGGCTAGTGGACCTAAGTGCCCTGTTACTGGAAAAAGAATTCAAGGGGTATGTTTTTTTTGCTCTTGCTTTTGTATTAATGAATGCCGTTGCTAGATTCTGATTGGTTTTTACATAAGTACTGATTTTTCTGTTAATGTGTTTGTTTCCAGTGATACACTGAGATTTAGAGTAAACCTATAACTTGCCGTGAAATGTGAAAGCAAATTATTTAGTATTTGGATAGAATGGACCTGAATATAGTGGAATGAATATAGAGGCTTCGTTTAGCCTGACTTATTTGGGATTGAATTATAGTCGATCGATTGATCTATCTGTGTGCTAGTTGATTTTTTATTTACTAGAGGTTAAATTAAAGCCTCGGGATTTCACATTTCTAGAATGTATGGGAGTGGCAATACCTGATAACTTTGCTGGGAATTTAGGGGTAAGTGTTGGTTATCGTGTGATAGTATTGATATCCCCATGATTTACAGAAGTATGAGCTTACATGTTTCAAATATCAAACCAAAGGAAAAAAATTTGCATGTCTAATTCAGTATCTTTGAGTAAGAAGTGCAATGTTAGTTGATCTGGGAGTAGTTGAACCATTGGAAGTGTGTTGTTTTGCATTCGTAAATTGTCAAACAATAGAGTCGGTTTTAGTATTACATGGTTTTATTATGAGATTATTGTTTCCCTCTTCTGTGTCCCCCCCCCCCCCAA